TCAAAATACCTGACTAACAATTACAGCACACCATATGCGTACTTCGACTACACTGGACTCTTCGTTGGGCTTAAATAATTAAAACTATATTGGAAGACCAAAATCGATAACAAACTTGTAGAACATTGAAAACCAAAACTTCGAACAAGCTGAGTGTGATTAACAAAATACTCAATAATGGAAAATCAACCAATTATACGTGAACAACTGGATTCTGAAAAGACGAATCATGAGGATTAGCGTTTCTTTCCGATAAGTGTGGATATGATTTTAATTAAAGGAACAAGTAAAAGTTATTTGCTATCAATGCGTGTAATAACCGACATACAAATGTGTTTATATAAACACGAGGATCTTTGAGGTGCCTGATGGGGGGTCTCATCACGGTTCACGAGTTGATTTTTTTGTCAATCACGATTCACAGAAAATACATTTCCATGGTCACGGATCACGAAAATATAAAAAAAAATAAATCTGTAGAAAAACGGATCACGATAGCGAAAATGCGCCATCACGAAGAACGAAAATAACCCATCAGGCCCCTCATCTTTACATCCAATAGATTTGTAGCCAACGATCCGAGGCCAACATTGTCTCAATAAATTACAATCTTACGTTTGTAGAAGGAGGATAAGAGTTGCATTACGTATATTGCTTTTTAAACAACAATTTAGAAGACATTCAAACATAAATTAAGAAGACTCGATTGTTGCATGAAAGGTTTTTACTGTGTCATTTGTGACGTCAGCATAATGTCATACTTATGCACAGGGGTTTGTTACAATTTGCCGGGTTTACTATCCATACGAACCCCGAAGAAACCACAAGGGAGGAAGCTCATTTGCGACAAAGCTTCAAATTATCGTTTCAAAATTTTTCTAAGACTTTCACTTACTTTGTTACCTGAATAAATCTGTTCCCACTTGAATTATCTTTTCAATGACATATATGTTTATCCTTAAGTAACCTCTATAACCATTGTAATCATTAAACAAACTCGAGCATATTGTTTTTCTTTAATTGTTTAACATTTAATACCGATATAACATGTTACTTTTATTATTCTTCCCTTAGTTTATTTATTTTGTATTTACATTGTATCATAGGTCAAATTTATTTGTTCAGTGTATGTTCAATGGTGTTAATATGTCCTTTGATTAAGTTAAGCTATTTCAGTTGATATTTTATAGTGTGTCTTTCTATGTTGTGATATTACACTATTGTTTCAGAAAAAAGGTGAAGGTTTGGTACCATTAAAACGTTTAAATCCGCTGCATTTGTTTGCACCTGTCCTAAGTCAGGAATCTGATGTTCAGTAGTTGTCGTTTGTTGATGTGGTTCATAAGTGTTTCTCGTTTTTTATATAGATTAGACCGTTGGTTTTCCCGTTTGAATGGTTTTACACTAGTAATTTTTTGGGCCCTTTATAGCTTACTGTTCGGTGTGAGCCAATGCTCCGTGTTGAAGACCGTACTGTTACCTATAATGGTTTACTTTTATAAATTTTGACTTGGATGGAGAGTTGTCTCATTGGCACTCATACCACATCTTCTTATATCTATTGACATTTCTGGAATAGAATGAATCGACGCCCTACATTTGAAAATGAAAGTACTAAAGCGACACCTCCCGGAAAATATATTTTCGGAACTCTCGGGATTTTACCACAATATGAGGACGATACACAGTGTGTACCTAATGGAGTGAATTTGGAGGGAAATATAAATGTGCATAGCCACTGACAGTACAGAATATGAGTAAAAACTTATTTGGTTCCTGGTAAGATAAACAAATTATTTGTGTTAGTCTTGTTTATAATGATGAAAAAAGTAAATAACAAAATCTGAATGTTGTTTTATATGACCCTTATCTTAGGATGTGAGATTATGGGGTAAAAAATAGTTGGATCAATTGATGTTGGATAATTCCTGCATATTTGCTTACTTGACTAGAAGAGAGACAAAATATACCAAAAGGGACCATCAAACTCAAACGTGGGAAAGAAACTGACAAAGCCATGACAGAGACAGATTTATTTAAGCATTGATGCTTGTTTTTTAATCCTAATTGTGAATGTGTTTATAAAATATACTTGTATTACTCATAATAAAATATTGTTTACATCAAGCCATGGCAAGAAATGAAAAAACGACGAAAAGGCATACAGCAATACACAACCCCAAAAAAATTTAAAAAATGAACAATACAAACCCCACAAAAAAAAACGAAGTAATCTCAGGTGCTCTGGAAGGGTAATCAGATCCTGCTCCACATGTGACACCCGTCGTAGAATAGCACGACATGTACCGGTACAAAAATATACCATCATGGAGAACTATATTTAGTACATGTATTTTGTTGGCGTTATTTTTATACAAGCCTTTGATTTTCGTTGTTAGTATTGTCTGCCTTTTTTTCTTTAATATTGTTAGGTCATTCAAGCAACATCAAAAGATTGGTTTAGGATAAATAAGGTTTTTTATCATGTATGATGTTTTTCATACAGAAAATCATTGTAGGATTACAAACATGCGTCATCTTTTTCCCCTTATCCTCATACTATTTGGATTAAATTTTTATGCCTTCAACATCTTTTGCTCTAAATCGGCTGTCTTTATATTGATTTTAAGATTTTTTATTGTTCCTGCATTGCGGTCAAATACATAGGCCGATACTAAAGTAATACAAGCATTGCTTTATTTTTAACAGCATTTTGTTGTCATTCTATTCTTTATCTACATGTTGTCTAGTTTGTCCTTGCAAGTATTGCATATCCATTCATCCGGTAGTTCATCCAAATCTTCTACTTGAATGTAATCCGCATGATACCAGGTATCACATCCATCACACCCAACTACATTCCAAGAGCATTCTTTCCTGCACACACCACACGGGTACTTACACACCGATTTCTTACTTTTCTTCTTTGCTCCTACTTTCACTTTTTCAATATCTTCAACAGTATTTTCTTCGTCCTTATCTAAAGCTGAAGGGTTTGACATATTAGCTGAGTTTAATATACACTGTTTCAAAATTGTTGATATTTGCGTTTTGGTTTTGTAATTCCTGGCTGTAATTCCGTACGCTATACATAATTAGTGGAGTTCTCCTTTTGTGAAATTAATGAGGTAGTCTTCGGTTTTCATGACTTCGTATTGCAGCCTTTTATGGGACATCTCTTTATGTTCTGTTGTATCCTCTTTAATAGCATCAACATTAAAGATACTACCAACCTTACGTCCTTTACCCCTCATTTTTATCTGTTTTCTGTGAGCCTCTGTTTTTGTTGTTTGAACTTCTTTCAAATATGTTTTCCTTAACTGACCTAATGACATTATACATTATTTTGACAAGACCTCAGAAAGCAGTTTTTTACACGTATCGCCCGGTGTCGTGGGATTAAATAGTTTGCTAAAAGTACACAATATAACATTGTCAGTTCTTAACTGAGTTTGCATGTACATATCATAACTAGCGCCATGAACGTTAAGATTAGAAGTTGTTTCTAGCTGGCGAACTTTTTTATTCAGCATCATAAAAAAGATTTGCGCTTCGTCGGTGATGTTGGTCAACCCACTCCTCACGTTTTGTTTCCGTCTTGTTTCAAGTAACGATCCTTTGTCAGTAGAGTGTTCAGCCAAAAAACTCTTGCTGTCAACAACCTGCTGCAAACACTTCAATTCGCATTTAAGTTCTCGGACTGTATCAGTTTTGTTAGGTTTATATAATAATTCTGATATTGCCGACACCTTTTTCTTTCTAATTTGTGAAATACATCACCCCCTCAATATATCTTATTTTCCCCCTTCCTCCATCTGATTCGGGAAATTCTTGTCCCCTTTCGGTCTGAGCTGTCTCCACTGCCTTTTCTCTCAAAGGCGCTGCAGTTGATTCTAAAACGCAGTTTCTGATAGCAGAAGCCAATTTGAATACTATATTTTTTCTGGCTACTGGATCAGAACCAAAGACTGTGCTCAATTTCTTTAGTTAATCACCTGACATGATAACATGTACTGCTTTGTAGAAATTCGACACGGTCTTATTTTTTCTGTAACTGAGCCTTCCTTATTCTTGAAAAATATTTCTTTCAGACTGTAGAATGAGTTCCATAAATAGTTGACTAGTTTTTGAGTGTTTTCGGAATTTTTCATAACCGTTATAACTTGCTTTTCCTGTATTTGCTGTTTTGTTTCTCCAATGCTCTTGATATTCTCTAAGATTGCGGAGACTGAAATAGTGTCTGGTAACTTGTACTCGACAGTAGTTTCTTCACTCTCGTCTTCCATCAACTCTACCAAGCCGATCATAGCCTCTGTGTCATCATCAGATAAAGTTTCAGTTATGTCTTCAAATGGAGTAAATAACTCCTCATACTCTTGACTACACGTTTCTAGGACCTCAGGCACATGTTTCTTACAACATGACCAATCCACTTTAGGTAGATATTGTTCTTTGCCATAAAATTCCAGGATATTGCCCGGTGGATTTCTTAAAAGTCTTTTGCTGAAGTTGGTTATATGTAAGCCTTTCTTTGTTGTGCATCGACTTATTGCAACTGCAATTTGACCAAACTGATACATTTGTGTACAATCAATGCTTATTCTGTCCACAGTTAAGCCCTGTGCTTTGTGAACAGTAAGGGCAAATGATAATCGTATTGGATACTGTGTTCTGCGTGCTATATCGATTTTCTTGTTGGCATCATCAACAGTAAAAGAAAAAGGCTTTAATGTCACCCGTCTCTTCAATGATTCGAAATAAACATCAACTGTATCATGAGTTATGGCTCGTACCTAACCGGCTAGTCCATTTACAAGCTCGTCTGATAGATTAACTGTCAGAATAACAGGACATCCTACTTTAACTGCTACTTGTTTTGGTACAGAAACAGAAGCCAGCTTTCCTAAGTCCCCGTCGTCTTCTGCTTCAAAATCTCTCATGTCTCCTGGCAATAAAGATAAGAACCATAAGACTTTTAAGCTCTACTGACTTTTTAGACAATGACTTACAATTACCAGAAGTCCATTACTAGTCTAGTAATGGACATCTGTTATGACTTATTTTTGGATGGTAAATAAATAAAATCAGATTAGTTTCTGGCTACTGTCTTATTTGTAGACATACTGATTCATATTTGAGACGAAACATTAGACATGTATACAAGTACCCTTTATTTGCCATAACAATTTATTCAACATATCGTCTCCAACTAAGAAAAAAACTCAGGAGTTGCTAAAATGCGAAATCAGAAAATGGAACGGAAATATCAAACTGGAAAGAAATGTTTCTTTTTTTGGACAGCCTGTCAAATTATTGCGAACGAAATGATTAACTACATATATCTGGTTACGTATCTACGAAAATACAACCAAAAACGTGTTGATACGGATTCAGTCAGTATGAATATTCATTCCCGTTCCAGTTTTTGAAATCCGTTCCGTTTTTCGATTCAATCTTTTAGTAACACCCAACAATTTCATGTCTCGTGATAATATCAAAATGAGTATATTTCAGAATATTTTCGGCTAAGTATGCTTTTATTGTTGCAGGTTATGTTCAACTGTTTGTGAAAGTACAGACGGTAGAATAACATTTAAAGCCCTGAAAGAGAAATTTGAAGAAGCTACATCTGGTACATCTACCATTTCTGATAAAAAATTGTCCCAAATCGTTTTTAGATTAATATTTCCAAACAAAAAAATATTAAGAGGTAGGTCAGGCGAAGACAGATTTCTTATATATGTAGGCCTTTCATGGAAAGAAAACAGAGATACGAGCTTGGTAGGTCCATGGAGCATTCAGTGTCATCTGAAGTACCAAAGCATGTTGTTTGAACAAACTACAACATCTGTAATTATTTTCATGATGTCAGATATCGTATGCAATGGTAACATCGTAATGAAGGAAATAACATTAAACTTCAAAGGACAATTATGGGAACTGAAAACTCGCGGTCGGATAGTTGTCCTGGAAGACCTGGACACCTGGACATAACTAATACATTTTATTTCACAACAAGCAAACCTTCATGAGATTTTTGAAATCGTCCATAAAATATATGCTGCGTTCACACGTAATTCGAATTCGATTTGCATTAACTAATTCGAATTAGTTTAATCCCCATTCGAAACGTTTAACGTCCAAACGTAAATTCTAATTCGAATTGCAATGCGCGTTAAATTCGCTTTACTGTCGTAACGACGTTAACTTTTAATTCGTATTAACAAAACGCATTTCTAATGCGAATTGGATAATGCGATTTAGCCAATTCGAATCAATTCGAATTAAAAAAGAAGAGTGTGTGAACGCGATTAGCGAATTCGATTCGCATTCGATTCGAATTCAATTCGAATTAAATGTACGTGTGAACGAGGCATAAAATTTGCACTGGAATTGAAACAGAACATAAAACAAAGGTTCCAATTCATATAATATCGGAGAGAATTGCAGAAAAGGGGGGATGAAAATACACAAAATTTTAAAATGAGATCAAAACATGTAAACAAGTGGTTGGCTGGTCATGTATAGGTGATTCATGTCACACATGTATAAACAACTTAAACGCATTTAAGAATGAGGAAACAAACCTGATAGATCTGAATAAAGTTGATGAGGAGGATCTGAAAAAAATTTTAAAACAAGTATTTCCTGGAGCATCTTTTTGATTTTCTCCGTAGCCAGCATAACATTTTAAATTCATCAAAGATTACTTGGGACAAGTCAGTTATAAAAACATGCTTAAGTTTGTGGTCTCGCAGTGTTAACTGTTATGAGCAGTTAGGGGACAGTAATATTTTCAAATTGCCCTCTGGTCGCCAATTAAGAAGATATAAAAGCAGTGTAGAGCAGAAACCTGGGTTAAACAATGATGTACTCAGATGGATGCGAAATACCGCCATACAAGTAAATTTACCCCCTTCTGGCTATCATGGCGGCCTGCTCCACGATGAAGCAAAAATCCAAGAAGATTTGGTATTAAATGTAAAGGGAGAAAGATCTGAACTTGTGGGTTGGATCGATACTGGAAGTGAGGCCGAAAATTTGAGGATTGTAAAGGAAAACAAAGTAGTAGAAAGCTGGCAACAGATGTGTTACAAATAACATTTCTTGGGTACACGGGATTCCGATTTCCGATTGCCCACTTCCAAACAGATGGAGTAAAAGCCTCTGAGCTGTATATCATAATTTGGTATTTGATTTCTCAATTACAGTCGTTGGGGTTCATAGTAGACTTTATAATGCAAGATGGGGGACGACAAAACAGAGAGTTTACGAAGCTTCACTTTACCGGTGAACCCAGAAAGAACTACTTTATGTGCGACATATTGGTACATCCTGGCAGAAAGGTTTATCACTGTCAGGATTTCTCACATAACATGAAAAAATTGCGGAATGCAGTTTTGAGTAGTGGAATTAATACTTACAATACAAGATTGTTAAACAAGAAAAGTAATGTAATAGTTTGGGAGCAGTGGTTAAATGCTGCCCGATGGGACGAACAAACAAATTCGCGAAAAATCCATTATAAGCTTAGTAATTCTCAGCTTCATCCAGATACAGCTGATAAGATGCGCAATCATCTTGCTGAAAAAGTTCTCAACGAGGACATGCTTCAGCTTATGAAGTCATATCAGAACTCATTAATCAATGGTGATGTTTTAAACAGTGCCATTGACTTACTTCAACAGACCAGCAAACTTATAACGGCATTAAGACATCCTCGTCCAGTGACGGATATACACGACTCAAGATTGAACATTCTAAATCATGTTCTAGATTGGTTCAATAACTGGAGAAATGAAATCAAACAAATAAAGAAAACACCAAAGGAACTCGAGAGGATGCTTCCTAGCATTAAATGCTTAGACGATGTTGAAAGCATGATAGTCGTCTTTACAAGAGTGTCCCGAGTCCATATAACAGAATTTAAAGGACGTGGGGGTATATCCTAGTAGGTTTATTTCTGACCGTGCAGAAAATATTTTCTGCCAACAATGGGGATTGTACAATGGTAATTCCACGAATCCGAATTATCATGTATATTGCAACACAATGAACAGCGTAATATTAGGTCAGACCACTAAGTCAAGAGCCCGAAAATCTAACGCAGGGTTACCTACTAATGATCCGTATTCTTTTCATGTTAATGTACCTCTATCAAAGAAAAAGAAAGTTCTATGCCGAATTTAGACTGTTCCAATAGAATACATGTACATTTTTGAATTTTAAGTGAAAGACATTAAACAGAAGTTCTTAAAATTATGAACGAAAAAATTATTATACATGTCATTTAAAAAAAAATAAAAATGAATAATCTGTTTGATTATGATGATGGATAATCACTTAACGTCCAGTGGCAGGTCAGATGCATATTTAACACGGAAGCATGATAATATGAAAATGAATGATTACTAACACCTGGACCACCCCCCCCTTTTTTTTTTTGCATCCGCCACTGTGCTTTGTACTGTTGTCACGCTGAGCCGGATTATAAAGTTCAAGTTCACGGGAACACATGTCACCCTATACATGCACATTATTCGGATTCAGCCTTTGCTCTTATTCCTGAATGCTGCGTGCTAAGCGGAGAAAAGGCACATACCAATTTTCAAGTCTTTGTCAGTTAAACACGACCGAAGTTCGAGCCTACCACCTCCCGCACTCCAGTCGAGCACACTAACCGTCACACCATAGATGAAATTTACATGAATCTATTTTATACAGGTACATTTCACCATTCTAAACGTGAATTTGTTAAGTGAAGTCATTGTTACGTGAATATGGTCGGGCCTTACATCTTTTTCAAGATGACAAAAATAGAAAATGCAAATAAAGAAAAGTTTGGTACCGACTTAGCTTCCATTCGGGTTTCATAAACGAAATGCATCATATTCTGAAAAATAATTTCAATACTTTTTTTTAAATACCGTAGATACTGTCGTTTTCATATGAATGATATATCAGCAGACAATTTATAGGGGCAATATTCATTTGGGTTTTGTTTTTATGAGGTTAAAGGTGTCTTCTGTTATCTGACCTCTAAAAAAATGAAACGTAAAAAATACAATTTTATAAGAATTGTGTCTTTATTGAACCTGAAAAATATCACTTCAACACTTTTTATTGTTTTTCCTTGTTGGATTCGTGGCTTAGATTGTTGTTGGGAGTGCTTGAGTTTGTTCGATCCGGAGCTGAGTCCACCAAAATATCAAGTCTATATCAATAAGGGTGTTGAAATACGCAGACATGTGCCACATAGAGGAACAGGAAAACCTTAACATTTCGGAGCATCTAATTTCAGTACGGTTTTATTTTTTATTACCGGACCCCTTGTTTGTATGCCCCACTTTGGGCATTATGTTTTCTAGTCTGTGCCTTCGTTCGTCCATCCGTCCGTCTGTCCCGCTTCAGGTTAAAGTTTTTGATCAAGGTAGTTCTTTATTAAGTTGAATTTCTGTCAATCTCAAACTTAGTATTCATGTTCACTATGATATGATCTTTCTAATTTTAGAGTTTTAACTCCAATTTTACGTGCACTGAACATATAGAAAATGATAGTGCCCGCTGCAGGTAACAGTTTTTGGTCAAGGTAGTTTTTGTTGAAGTTGAAGTCCAATCAACTTGAAACTTAGTACATATGTTCCCAGAGGCTGATTTAGAGGGGGTCCCAGGGGGCCCAGGCCCCCCTTTTCTGGGAAAGATTTGGTTGATTATACAGGGAATCACTGAAGCATTACCGGAGCATGCCCCCCTCTTCGGCAGTCAGTGGGCCCCAACTAATGACAATTTCTAGATCCGGCACTGGTTCCCTATTATATGATCTTTCTAATTTTAATTCCAAATTAAAGTTTTGATCCCTATTGCACGGTCCGGTGGACATAGAAAATGATAGTGCGAATGGGGCATCTGTACTATGAACACATTCTTGTTATTGGTATCAGTTTGTCCAGTCATTTAAAAATGGGGGTTATTATAGGATAATGTAGAGATTCCAACCATATGTCCGCATTAGCCGTCAAAATGGAGATTCCGACCTGGACCCCCTTTTTGTGATCATCCAATTGTTGTCCCGGCAGTGGCGGATCCAGAACTTTTTGTAAGCGGGGGCCCACTGACTGACCTAAGGGGGGGGGGGGGGGGCCGCTCCAGTCATGCTTCAGTGATTCCCTATATAATCAACACAATTTTTCCCACAAAAGGGGGGGGGGGGCGAGTCCCCCAGGGCCCCCCTGGATCCGCCTATGGTCCGTAAATATCTCTATGTTTATATCAAGTCATTATAGGACCAACTAATTATTTTATATATTTCTTAACCTACAGGGTTGGCAAATAAGAAATTTAAGAAGAGGAAGACCGGTAAAAAAATCCAGTTGAGCGACAATGAATTCCATTAAATAACTATATTAAGTAATATTTATGTAAAGGCCTAGATATTTTCACGTATATTACTGTACTTCTCCAGTCTGTTTTGTCATGATCGACTTTTTTTGTAACTATAGTAGATCTATATGATGTAAAACATTTGTAATGCTTTGGTTAATAAAGAATTGATTTGATATATTTTGGTATATTTGGATAAAAATCCAGGCGTTAGTTTGAAAGACAGGATGTGAAGCCATCCTTTATAACTATAAATTATAACATATTATAGAGTACCGATCATCATCAATTATTAACAATTTGACTATATTTTGGGAGCTTATTGAAACTATGTATTGTACAACCATTAGCAGTTACTGACATATATTTTACTGTCATTGATCATACCTTGCAGACTGATGTATTGCCGCTATCAAGTCGGGCTCTGACTGTCGGTGCATGTCTGTCAACTGCACGTGATGTAAACATCTGATAAATATGGAAAGGAAACAGTACGAACCGTTGTCCCCATAACTTGGGTTGGCAACAGGTGGTAATTGAAAAATATCCCCTGACAAAATCAGCTGTATTCCACCAAACGAAGGAGTTTGTCTTATTTCACTTAGCACACACTCAATTTGTTCGAACAACTTAGTGCTTAGCATGAAAATCTCATCAATGATAAGGCAGTCAATTGTTTTAATGTTTTTATTTTTGTTGAGAAAGATTCTTCACTTTGAAGAAGTGAAACCAGCTCTTCGTTTGAATATCTTCCATCTTTGAGTCCTAAAAACTTGTGGACTGTCGACACTTGTAGTTTTGATGCTGGTGGGATTTTCCCTCGGAGGATCTGTGCAGCCTTTCCCGTGGTTGCAGTAACTGCAACTACTTTGCCAGATAATTTTAAGTTTTGGGCAATCTCGGAAATTACAAACGATTTTCCAGTGCCTGGAAATCCTGTCACCAAGACATTATGACCTGCCAATGCCATGTGAAGAGCTTTGTTTTGGATTCGATCCATCCCTTTAACTCTCGCCATTTTTACATTATTGATATCAAAAATACCGTAGACTTCCGAAAAACATTACAATTGTGGTAAAATCCCGAGAGTTCCGAAAATATATTTTCCGGTAGGTGTCGCTTTAGTACTTTCATTTTCAAATGTAGGGCGTCGATTCATTCTATTCCAGAAATGTCAAGTTTGTTTTAAGGATTACAATGGTTATAGAGGTTACTAAAGGATAAACATATATGTCATTGAAAAGATAATTCAAGTGGGAACAGATTTATCGAGGTCACAAAGTAAGTGAAAGTCTTAGAAAAATTTTGAAACGATGTCGCGAATGAGCTTCCTCCCTTGTGGTTTTTTCGGGGTTCGTATGGATAGTAAACCCGGCAAATTGTAACAAACCCCTTTGTCGTGACTGGATGAAACCCGCACGTACGTTGAGGCGACGGGATTAAATCTTGGATGCAACTAGTCCTATATCTCTCCCAGTAATGTTGTAAGATAAAAGGGGGATGGTAGATATATAAAAAAAGATTAAAAAATTTAGTATATTAACCCCGTGACATGCAGTTTCTTAAACGTCTATGTGTCCCACGTCAGTAACGTTGTCGTTGACGGTCGTATATATGTCAGATCGTAATGTTAATTCCCCCAATATTTAGAGAATTGAGTGTTAATAGCAGATCTTTGATTGTTTCTGTTGAATTTAAATATATTTTTTATGGAATCGAGACAATTAAGAGCGAGACATATTGACAAATGTGTGGTCATCTGTCTTTTTGTCGAATACTATATGCTTGCATCAAGATGGTCTTTTTTGGTTATTTCTGTCGTAGGGCTGCTGTTCCATAAAAGTATAACCCATAGCTGATTCTCCTTCTATTTCACACTTAATTTTCCGTGTATACTGCTGGCTGAAAAAAAATCTGATAGCAAGATTCATAAACTAACTTTTGTGACTTATTGTTAGAACATCTGTCTATTGTTGAAGATTACACGTCTGCTTCTAGATGACGTCTTTTTTAGTTATTTCTGTTGTTGGGTTGCTGTCTCGTTGACCTTTACCTCACATCTCCTTTTATTCATGCAGCACTTAATTTTCCGTGTGCACTGATGGCTGAAAAAAAATTATCATATGAATCTGTTAGGCTAAGCACTGTCAGTTTTTCTTTGTATCAAGTATAGTGGATTGGTTTGATTGTTTTCTGCTTAACGTCCAACGGCAAATATTCCATGCATATTAAAGCCATTGTGTCAGAAAATCCAATCGTAAAGATATTGCATATGTGTCTAGTCTACTTAAACATTTGCTTTTGTGTATTTTCGGAGTGAAAAAAGAAAGAATTCTGCAGAACCGCAGACACGCACGTGCTTCAAATGTGTTTTCTGGAATAAAATCACTACGCAGTTTTAAGCATTTATAGCTATTTTGTCTTAAGTTTAAATAAAGTGGCAGTCATTTCATAGCAAAACTATTTTATCCTGACTTGACTGTGCTGAAAAACTCAACATATCTTTAATTGCATAAAAAAATGTTCCCGAAAGTTGGGTAGTATAAAAACAGGTACTTTTGATCTGAGCAACAGGGCAAATATGTCCCCTATCATAATTTCATATATTTATTTTACTATTCATGAGAAAGTTTCATCAAGGGTTATACAGTGATCACAAGAGGTAGAGCCTTTCATTTGATATCAATTTTTTATCCATTTTCTTTTAATTTTGGAACCATTTTGTTTAACATGTGTACTACTTTCTTGTATGTTCTTTGTCACGAATTATATACCTTCTTGGTGTCAGGCGAAACACAAAGGAATTAACG